AATCTACATTCAAGATATTGTCCTTGAAAGAGATATATACTTTACCTTCTTGGACAGTTCCTTATTAAATAGATGTGATAGTTATATGGTGTCAAATACATATTGTTAAAGACATGTTGGTACGTTATAACTAAAACAGAGTCTTATGATGCGAACACAGCATACATGATTTAAATGGTTAAATTTATTGATCTTAAACACTTTATGGTTCTGTTTAATGTGTGAATAATGCACTCGTTCAAAATTCATCACAATATGCTTTTCTTTTATAATGTTTAGCATTGAATTACAAGTAAACATTTAAGTCTTTCACAATAGATTTAATCATCATTGACTGTATTTGGTCATGGTTAATGAGTCGTTTGACAAGTATTTTATCTGTACTGTCATTCGATATCGTAGAGTCATACTTTAGCCGTTAATCTATTGTTTTATTTTTCTTTAGAATAATGTTTATAATAGTAAAGACGATAAATGTGTCATCTCGAATGATTTCAAAACATAACCAACATTGTACTTTAAACTGCGAGTACATTATGATTCATTTATAACTAAATGTGTATCCACGCCTCAACACATGCCTATTAACAACGGTACGTACCGTTTAAAGGGACGCAATACCTTTGTTATATGAATTTAACATTTGAAGAGTTAGTTATTCATGAAAATTCTTTTGTATATGTATATATGTACAATGGTTAGTACCCTTTAAATGGAAGCAATAAATAATTGTATCATTGTTACAATTGAAGTGGTATTTGTAAAATTTATATTGCATATGTATACGTACAATGGTTGGTATCTTTACCTTTGAAGAATTAAATATTCACGAAAATTTTACTGTACATGTATAAATAAGGAATAAGCATGTACATTATTTAATGCCATTTTTGTATGAATTGATTTAATTGCTTTAAGGAAAAAGAATGTAGGCAATTCATGTTGTTAGTTCTAATACATTGAAAGTTTACATGACACGCTGTTCATACGAAGCATGCTTTTTGTAAAGTTGTCAATATTTTCGAATTCTTTTCAAGCTTTTTTCCTCTTTATTTTTGAAATTTTGATATTTACTAAAATACATAATTAGTCCATTGTCGATGCATTTTTATATTATGATTCTACCTATATTTAAGTTTGGAACAGTCCGTTCATTTTAATATCAAAATATTGAAACAGTTTCATTGAGCTGCAGACAGTACAGAGCCCAGTCAAGTTACACAGATGTGTAGACTGAATTGGCAAAAGCTATGCATGTTCGGTCCCAGCAGGGTAAGTATTAATGATAAAATAGTAATTTTTGTGTTAAATCATATATGCATAACACTTTAGCGAAGATGATATAATTACAGTTTTCGAGGACCTCTTTGGTTGTTGTCATCTCCTACAGAGTCCTAATCAAGTGTTCTTCACTTTTTCTACCGAGGAGTCGATGACCATATTTAATTACCAGTTTTGTTAGAATGCCGCGGACTTATGGTTTAAAGAGTTAAGGTGTTTGGTTTAAACATATTTATTCAACAAAACATTTAACAAGTGAACAATATTTACAAAGTACATTTTGGGATTGACAGAAAGCTATAAAGCTTATGAGTGTCCTCTTCCAGTTAAGCTGTTTGAAGTGTCGTATTCAATGCAATTAAACACTATGTAAGAAAATTGTGTTAATTGATCGGTAGTAAATAGGTATAAATAAATCAAATCACTTTGAATTAAGCGTTTTGTATTAGAATATAGATAAGTTATGCTGATATACATGTATAACATTATAATTATGTTCCTAGTAAATACTTGTATGTTAAATAAATACATTCTACATAACGTTTTAAAAACAATACAAAATTCATGTAAATATACCTCATAACTCATGCATATTACTGAATAATGCTAAAAAAGAGGATACCGAATGAGTGTATACAAAAGTTCAACACTGAATTAATTGAACAGTTACATTTATATTATGCGGCCCTCTCATGAACATTATGCCATTTTATTAAACGAGTTAGCTCAAGATAGTAATAACCTACACTAATGTAATGTATTATTTATCATATACATTTTGTACATGTACCTAATATAAAATATGTTCATAGTAAAGATTATCTCTTTTTTATATTTACACGTTTTCAAGCGTATATTCGACCCATGAAATAATGTAAATTTTACATTCAGTTTCTGTTACTGTTTTTGTGTGTAAAATATGAACAGAACAGACTGATAATTATCTTTAATAACTCAATTAAGATAAATTTATGACATATGAATTTACATAAAAAGCAGCTGTGATTAATATTTGCTGATTACATATATAACATGGTTTATATTTTTACACACAATATCATTAAGGATTTCATACAAATAGAGGCTATATATGAAGCACGAAATGTATTTGATATTCATGGAGATACTTTTACTCGTACATCGTACGTCGGCGCAATCACACTTGATTATAACGCGACGGGTGGTGCAAGGTCAAGACAAAGAAATATACAAGAAATGATAGAAAGTTAGAAGAGGTTAGATAGGTCAAAAGAAAGAGATATTCTGGTTTCCTGTCCAATTATGGTTCCCATAGATGTGCGTGGGTGACCAGTCTACACACCCGATTTCAGTCAGAATTCCTCAGTTTTAATCCTTATCTTTAAATTCGAAAAGTTGCGATGTGTCCAATTCTGTACTTCTGACGAAAGTTTTCAAAACCATCACTTAGCAGGTACTCACGTTACCGTAAAGCTCTCTTTGCTCTCTTTGCGAGCCCTTTGGGCCAGCTCGTCGAGCTCGCTATTACTTTTACACAAATTAGGGTCGTTAGGTAGCCATTATTTTATTTTTTTATATCAATTGATGAGAATATGAATATGGGGCGCAAAGTTTATTATGCAGCGTCAAACAAAATTTTGCCTGTTTTCCCTCAAAAAGTTAAAGGTCGCAGGGCTCTCAGTAGGGTCAGAATTTCATGAGTCAGACTCTCTGGTCAAACGAGTCAAATCATTTTTTTCTAGTGTCATTTGACTACATGAATCATTTTTGAGTTGCAAAAATAACTGTATTGGAGGTCATTTTGTGTAGATTCTCAAGTCTCTCCCCCCCCCCCCCCCAAAAAAAGACAAAAAAAACAAATTAAAAAAAATGAACTGCATCTTTACTGTGAAAGAATAAAATAAGCCACAGCTTTTCTGATTAAATGTATAAAATATAAAAGAAATATCTTTACTGGTATGCTATATATGTGGGAAATTGACTCTTGTGCAGATTTTATCATGTGTCAAATTTGTGCATTTCTTGATTTTCATGAGTCAAAACCCGGATCCCCGTGTCACTGGAGAGCCCTGGGGTAAAAAAATAGGGTAGGTAGGGACACTGGAAATAAACATTTTTTTTTAGGCCTAACCACCACAGCATTATAATAAGTGGCTACCTGGAGTCCTTCTATACACTGCTAAGGACTGCTAAGGAGACACAAAGGACTGCCAAGGAGGTACAAAGGACCTTAAAACAACTCCTAGTTGTACGTGACTGACATACGGCTAAAACTTTTGGCCGTAGGGCTAGCCACTGCCTTATAGTACCTGTCACTTTTATTTTGACATTGAGTGACAGCAGGTTCCATTTTAAAAATGTCATTTCATGCACTGCTTCCATTTTCACTCAAAATACTCTACTATTAATATTTATCCGAAATGTTGCGATTGTTCAATATGGGAATACCCACCCTATTTTCATTGAATTACATTGAAAATGGCAGCACTCGACTAGAACTGACACTGAAAATTTCATTGATAGTATAGAATTCTATATATTCTTGAATTGATTATTGATTTTCTTTTAAATATGAGTATACATGTGTAGTCTATAGCCAGGCAAACCAAAGCCCGGGCCTGCTTCACTGTCCCGGCCTGCTTCACTGTCCCGGCCTTTGACTTCCCCATATAAAACCTATTTGCTGAAGTTTTTTTAGCTAGGCATGGTCAGCACCCCCCACAGTCACTATTTTTAGCAGTCAACATACATGTATATATTTCAGTCTTTTGTCCATAAATGCTAGAAATCTTGTTAGATTCTACAATTAAATGTATTCGTATAGAAAATATTTGTTCTGTTTCACCTGCAATGCCTTTAAAATGTATCAAGGTCTCTACACCTAACTGTACCAGGTGAATTACATGAAATATAAAAATGTTGTTGCACACAAAAACAATCACAAAAGCATTGTAATTTACTTATAAATTTACAAAATCAGAGAATACCGTGAATAGCATTCACATAATGGCTACTGAGCCATTATATACTAATTTGTGGGTGGGAAAATATGACAATAAGTAATTGCTTATAAAAAGCCTTGAAAAATCAATAAAATCTTACATGGGAGTCAGACTGGCTATTGGAATATGGAAAATATTATGTTTGTATCTATTGGAATTTGCATAATTATCTTCTTACGTCATAAATGTAAGGGCTTGCAGCCAAATTTCTGTATCAAAGTAATATGCAAATGATCAATCAAGAAAAGACATAGAAGATAAAAGGGCCTTCTAAGTTGAACCCAAGTGTTTATAGGACCTAAAAATTTGAATTTGAATTTTCCATTGAAGATATATACTTTTGATATAGAAACAAATATAGATACATGTATCATATGTTTAGAGTCTTTACAAATTCATTAATTTATTTTAGCTTGAATTGAGTGAAAAACATTTCACTCAGCTTACCATTTTTTAGTCATTTTCAATATTAAAATTATCAAACAGAATGTGAAATTTCGCATGCAAGTTATTGGTTCTGACTTAGTAACATCATAGTGTACATGAATCTCAAAACAAAATTGCAGGACTCAAAATAAAGCAAATTCTAGTAAATACAAGATGATATTTACAATGGACATTTTTTGTCATTTTCTTTTGAAGCCCATAGATAAAAGATAGAATAGATAATTATACATTGCAGAAATTTTAGTGAATTGTCAGTTAACTAAAGTGAGGTTATTTTCTTTTCACTTTTAGAGAAAGCCAAGTTGAACTACGCCAGCAAATCGACAGCTTAGCTGGAGGTAAGAGTAATAATGTTTCAGTCTAAGTTTTCATTATTCAAGTATTTTATATCTAAACATTCGCAGACGAGTGATCATGAAAGCTGTCATAACTTTAATTTGTGAAGCAGATAGAATGCTATCTAGACTAATTGACTTACTGTTAAGAAAAATGATTGTTTGATATACATGTACATGTGATTCAAAATATATGAACTGTATAAACTTATTATCTGATGAAAAATTAACCAGAAGTTTAAAAAACAATGAAATTACCATAAAAATCCTAAAAAATGCCGATCCCCTTATAAAGACCATCCCCCAGTCCCAGTTTTTTTAGCTCGACTATTCGAAGAATATGAGAGCTATTGTAGTCACGTCAGCGTCCGCGTCGGCGTCTGCGTTGGTTAAAGTTTTTTTGTAAAGTCAAATATCTCAATTATTACTTGAGATTTTCAATTGAAACTTACAATACTTATTTATAGTAACAAGGTACATCAGACTGACAAGTTGGATACTCTGCCTACAATATTGACAGAATTATGCCCCTTTTTAACTTAGAAATTTTGGTTAAAGTTTTTTGTAAAGTCAAATATCTCAATTATTACTTGAGATATTCAATTGAAACTTACAATACATATTTATAGTAACAAGGTACATCAGATTGACAAGTTGGATAACTCTGCCTACAATATTTACAGAATTATGCCCCTTTTTAACTTAGAACTTTTGGTTAAAGTTTTTTTGTAAAGTCAAATATCTCAATTATTGCTTGAGATATTCAATTGAAACTTACAATACTTATTTATAGTAACAAGGTACATCAGATTGACAAGTTGGATAACTATGCCTACAATATTGACAGAATTATGCCCCTTTGGAACTTAAAAATTTTGGTTAAAGTTTTTTTGTAAATTCAAATATCTCAATTATTGCTTGAGATATTCAATTGAAATTTAAAATACTTTTTTATAGTAACAATGTACATCAGTTTGCAAAATTGCACAACTCTGCCTACAATATTTGCAGAATTATTTGCCCCTTTGAAACTTAGAAATTTTGGTTTAATGTTAAAGGTCTTCAAATATATTTACTTGAAACTTTACACATGTACTTAGGGTCATAATTGGAGGGTCATACTATCAAGCACATAGAATAGTCGAGCGTGCTGTCCTACCGACAGCTCTTGTTTTTATATGGAAAAAGTCTACTCATCAGTGCTGAAATCCTGAGTTAATCCATAATTTTTGTTCAAATCACTCAGAATCCATTTTATTTTTTGAATTATATGAATAGGAAAATACTAAACACAGTCAGATCAAAGTAAGTAGAGCATTGAAATAATCAAGTGTGCATGCTATATTTCTGAATTTTGTTTTATTTTTAGTTAAACAAAATATTAGACTTTAAGTTTGGATATGTGGACAAAAGCCCCACTTTCAAGGCCCCCATTATAAAAACCCTGCTTGTATTTGTTAAATCTTCTGTGTTGTGCAAAACTAGATAATTATGTCCCACTTGGTTATATACTTGCTGAATGTTTATGGTCTCTGTATATTTTATATTGGTTATATCTCCTGTGTTATGCAAAACTAGATATGTTCCCACTTGGTTACATGTATATACCTGCTGAATGTTTATGGTCTCTGTATATTTTATATTGGTTATATCTTCTGTGTTGTGCAAAACTAGATATGTTCCCACTTGGTTATATACCTGCTGAATGTTTATGGTCTCTGTATATTTTATATTGGTTATATCTCCTGTGTTGTGCAAAACTAGATATGTTCCCACTTGGTTATATACCTGCTGAATGTTTATGGTCTCTGTATATTTTATATTGGTTATATCTCCTGTGTTGTGCAAAACTAGATATGTTCCCACTTGGTTATATACCTGCTGAATGTTTATGGTCTATTGTATTATACTAAATTTTATATTGGTTATATCTCCTGTGTTGTGCAAAACTAGATATGTTCCCACTTGGTTATATACCTGCTGAATGTTTATGGTCTCTGTATATTTTATATTGGTTATATCTCCTGTGTTATGCAAAACTAGATATGTTCCCACTTGGTTACATGTATATACCTGCTGAATGTTTATGGTCTCTGTATATTTTATATTGGTTATATCTTCTGTGTTGTGCAAAACTAGATATGTTCCCACTTGGTTATATACCTGCTGAATGTTTATGGTCTCAGTATATTTTATATTGGTTATATCTCCTGTGTTGTGCAAAACTAGATATGTTCCCACTTGGTTATATACCTGCTGAATGTTTATGGTCTCTGTATATTTTATATTGGTTATATCTCCTGTGTTGTGCAAAACTAGATATGTTCCCACTTGGTTATATACCTGCTGAATGTTTATGGTCTATTGTATTATACTAAATTTTATATTGGTTATATCTTCTGTGTTGTGCAAAACTAGATATGTTCCCACTTGGTTATATACCTGCTGAATGTTTATGGTCTCTGTATATTTTATATTGGTTATATCTCCTGTGTTGTGCAAAACTAGATATGTTCCCACTTGGTTATATACCTGCTGAATGTTTATGGTCTATTGTATTATACTAAATTTTATATTGGTTATATCTTCTGTGTTGTGCAAAACTAGATATGTTCCCACTTGGTTATATACCTGCTGAATGTTTAATGTCTATGTATATTTTATACTGTCTCTAGATGTAATTTTCTGCTAAAGTTATTTTTATTTTTTTTTTATCTACAGTTGAATAGCTTTAAAGCATGTGACATTAAGTAATTATTATATGGTTGCTTTTCAGATTTGCTGGTAATATCCAGTAGCCAGACTATATCGGTGGACTTGGAATCATATGTGAAAAAGTTGAACAATTCAAGAAGGCGTGTTATGTTAGTCAATAATATTTTACAAAATGTTCAGGTAAGAGTGATTTAAAATCTTCTAGCACATTTCAACTTTTGATACTGCCTAGGTGCTGTCATGCATTTTAGTCTAACTTAATGAAAGATAATAGTTACTCAACCATGTGTGGGCCTGACACGGGATTTAGCTTTTGCATATATTTATTATGACCCCACAATGTGGGAGCATATAGCGTTGCACTTGTTCGTCCGTCCGTCAGTCCGTCCGTCCGTCCGTACGTCCCGAAATCTTGTGAACGCAACTTCTCTTAAACCGGATGGCAGATTTTGCTTAAACTTACAGGGATGAACAACCTTAATGTGTAGATGGTAGTAAAGGAAGGAATTTTCACTGCGACCAAATTTAACAGAATTATGGCCCTTTGTTGATTTTTTCAGTAGATACTATGTAGAAATTTTGTGAACGCAACTCCTCTTAAACCGGATGGCAGATTTTGCTTAAACTTACAGGGATGAACAACCTTAATGTCTAGATGGTAGTAAAGGAAGGAATTTTTGCTGCGACCAAATTTAACAGAATTATGGCCCTTTGTTGATTTTTTCACTAGATACTATGTAGAAATTTTGTGAACGCAACTCCTCTTTAACCGGATGGCAGATTTTGCTTAAACTTACAGGGATGAACAACCTTAAGGTGTAGATGGTAGTAAAGGAAGGAATTTTCACTGCGACCAAATTTTACAGAATTATGGCCCTTTGTTGATTTTTTCACTATATACTATGTAGAAATTTTGTGAATGCAACTCCTCTTAAACCGGATGGCAGATTTTGCTTAAACTTCCAGGGATGAACAACCTTAATGTGTAGATGGCAGTAAAGGAAGGAAATTTTGCTGCAACCAAATTTAACAGAATTATGGCCCTTTGTTGATTTTTTCATTATATACTATGTAGAAATTTTGTGAATGCAACTCCTCTTAAACCTGATGGCAGATTTTGCTTAAACTTCCAGGGATTAACAACCTTAATGTGTAGATGGTAGTAAAGGAAGGAATTTTTGCTGCGACCAAATTTAAGAGAATTATGGCCCTTTGTTGATTTTTAGTTTTCAACTTGTGGCACATGTAGTCCAAAAAATATTTGACCTAGAGTCATAAGATTGACAGAACAGTGGCGTGTGGGGGCATCCGTGTCCTATGGACACATTTCTAGTTTATAACATATATGTATAAATGTATATAGAGGATATTGAATGAGTGTAAGTTTAATATTAAATTTATTAAATGATTTGAATAAAATCATATTATATAGTTTTTTCAACGAGTTCAATAGATTTAGAATGAATCTACAATCATACACAAATATAATATTCTAATTATCACATATATAAAATAAGAACATAAACTGATATAAAGAGTCATTTTTCAAGACGCGCCTATAGTGTAATGCTTACATCAGTGCGCTTTTAATGTTATGTTTATATTAAGCGCAAATGAAGTCACATCAAAAAGTATTTACACTAGTGTAATATCGTTTTTTATTACATTGCTTTATTACACTTCTATGCTGCGTTTTATGTGATAAAAAGAAATAAGTAATGATTGTATTGCATTGAAAACAAATGGCATCCTGTGATTAATACATGCTTAATACATTTGTTACTATAAATAGAAAGGAATTTAACAATGATTGAATTTTAATTGGTTCTGAGAGTAAGTGATTGATCAAAAGTTTGCGGCTCTAAGGGCTAGAACAACATAGTCAGCTGAACATAGGCAAGTGCAAAAATGATGAGATACCTGGGTCCAAAAAATCATAATCAGTCTGCTAAACAAGTGCAAAAATAATTAAATGTGACATTTTAGTTGACATCCTCAAAACAGGCTAGCTGGAAAGTAAAAGTGGGCTTTATAGTCAGGATGGCTTGATTTTGAGAGATAAAGCACTTGCAAATTGATTCTACTGGAATTTGTACCTATGAAGGGAAGCAACTCTGTCTTATCTTTAGAGGGCTCTGGAGTTTTAACAACAGAAATATCAAAAGTTATTGTAAAATCTATTTCATCTATTAAATGCATTTATACTCATTAGAGTTGGGCTGGAAAGTGATAATTGATCCTCAATAAATATTGACCCTCTGGCTAAAGCTCTCAAGCCTTTACTTATTGAGCTGGCTGATTTTCACCTTTCCTCCCTACTCTCTGTATATAAACCTCTTATATGATAAATCTCATAATTTGATGTCTATCAAAAACATTTGATATCCTTTGTTTTTTGTAGGAGAGATTGACCAAATTATATAACAATGTTTCTCGTGAGACTGCTAGACGGAAAGTATTACTAGATCCACCAGGGGCAGGCAGACCAAAATAAGCCATTGAACGCCATTATTCCATGCTTATAATATGTGATATTCATTCCATGAAACTATTTATCAATGTGCAAATTATTTATTCACCTGCAAGAAGGACCAGCCTTTTGTGTTGAATCCTGTTCTAGGGAATGATAATTAATTTGATAATCTGAAGATAATGATACGCTGATGTGATTTTAGGGGATTATATGATTGTATGATTAAGGTGATGATATTGGTAGTGTTGATAAAGAAGTCACAAATAATATTTTAGGGTTGTAATGCAATTAAATGTATTATGTGATAATAAGATGGTATGTTTAGGGTTATAATTGAATTGTGTACTATAGGGGATAATTTTATATATTGTTGATAAAAGAAATCACAAATTATCATTAAGGGGGTGGGGGTTAAGATATTGTATACTTAAGGAGTTGTTAAGATTGTATATTCCATGTGATAATTATGGTATTGTTAAATAATTACAAATCATGATTTTAGAGGATAATGAAAGTGAATGCTCTAGTGATAATAAAATCATGATAAGTGATAATAATATTTTTGTAATTTCAGGCCACAATGAGATGGCATATTTAGATGATAAGATTATTTTTTTTAATTATTACCATATAATAATAATAACATTCAATCATTTTTGGTTATATTTGTAATTGTGGGCTAAGCATCAGTTTTATGACACATATTAAAAAATAATGCTATTTTATAATTAACTTGTGGTGAATCATTATTATTTCATAAATAATTTGTGACTAATAAATGATATTATATAAATCACTTGTGTTAATTCAATGTTATTTTATAAATAACTTGTGGCGAACTATTATGTTTATGTATAAATAACTTGTGGCAAATCATTATGCTATTCTATAAATAACTTGTGGTGAATCATTATGTTTTTGTATAAATAACTTGTGGCGAATCATTATGTTAATCTATAAATAACTTGTGTTGAATCATCATGTTATTCCTATAAATAACTTGTGGCAATTCATCATGTAATTTTGTAAATAAGTTGTGGTGAATCATTATGCTATTCTATAAATACTTGTGGCGATTCATCATGTTACTCTATAAATCAGTTGTTGCAAATCATTATGTTATCCTATAAATAACTTGTGGCGATTCATCATGTTACTCTATAATTAACTTGTGGCGAATCATCATGTTATTCTATAAATAAGTTGTTGCAAATCATCATGTTATTCTATAAATAACTTGTGCCGAATCAGTATGTTATTCTATAAATAACTTGTGGGGGTCGTTATGTTTTTTGTATAAATAACTTGTGGCGAATCATTATGTTATTCTATAAATATCTTGCGGCGATTCATCATGTTATTCTATAAAAAACTTGTGGCAAATCATTTTTTTATTCTATAAATAACTTGTTGCAAATCATCATGTTAATCTATAAATCAGTCTTTGTGAAATAATGTTATTTTTAAAATCATTTGCGGTGAATCAGTGTTGTATTTAATGAATAATCTTTTTAAAAATCACTTGTGGTAAATAGAAAATAACCAGTAATTGTGTATACAGATTTTTGTGCAAATAACCAACCACACATTCTTACATATTGTTAAGATAATTTGAGTAAATGTTTAAGATTTATTGAAAGCGAAAAAATAAATATTGTATTACTGTGAAATTAAAAAGTTAAATCCTTAATACTTAATTGATTGTGTGTATTTCTGTGTATGTTGAATTAAGGTTCACTGTAATACCTTACTAGTTTTGTGTATTACTGTGAAATTAAAAAGTTAAGGGACTCCACTGAGGTTTCAAAGCCTTAAAACATAACATTAGAATTTCTTACATAAATGAGCTGGGGGCATTTTAAACAGAAATATATGCAAAGATTTAGAAATATGCTTTGAAATAAATTGAAAATCACATTTTTATGCTTTTCTTAGCCCAAGTTGAGTGAAAAGTGTTTAAACACTTTTCATTTTGGTCATTTTTTTACATCTTGAATAATTATTCTGGAAAAGGATGTGTGTGAATGATCTAAAATTTTGCACAAAGATTAGTGGTCTAATCCTTCATCAAATGGTACATTTCTCTGGAACAAATATTTTCAGTCTTATCATGTCAAAACACCTCAGTGGAGTCCCTTTAATACTTAATTTGGTGTATTATTGTGTATATATATATGGAATATTATGTTGTAGTAGCTTTCTTAGGCTTTGTATTTTTCTACGAGCAGCGGTGGAAAATTGATATCTCGCGAGACCCAAGATCGAGCGAGATATCAATTTTCCAACGTTGCGAGTAGAAAAATACAAACACTCAGAAAGCTACTACAACATGATTTTCCTTTTATTATATACCTTTTCGTTTTATTCAGAAAATGAAATATAGTTGTCAAGAAATAAATTCATGACTGAGGGATGAATACGTAATTCTTGCAAACCGGCCACGCCTTTAATAATTTTGGTTCCCGTTTTCAAATGTAACGTTATGCAAAGCTAAGATCGGAACCAACGTCAAAAATAGTCCGGCATTTCCATATATGGTACCGTAATTGTCACTAACATAATACGGAAATTTCTATCCGTTGAAGTGTATTTGCGCTTCAATATTTGCGTGTATTTTAGGGAGAAAATTTATAGGTATATAATAATAAAAGTTACAACTTAATACGTTCTTCGGGGTATAACTGTGTAACTTACTTTAATGTTCGTGCCGAGAAAACAGATTTTTTAATTATCACCATTGTAGAAGATTTTTTTTCTAGTTAGAGTACAAATACAAGCAATGAACAATATAACTATGTGCAATATAAATGAAAAAATAAACAATAGCAAGCATTTTGTAGTTTAAAAAAATATATATTGTATTGACCTTAATCCTGAGCTGAGTCTTCACATAAGCTACCAAGTTTTATTGAAATATCTTATTCCTAACCAGAAGCAGTTTTATGTTTATTTAGCACCGACCTTGACCCTAGAGTCTTAACCAAGGTCTTCACATAATTTGCTATATAAACTATGTATAAATATACCAAGTTTTTTAAGATAAGTCAATTTTAACTTAAGTTATTGACCAACCATATCAAACAATATAGTTTAACAACTGCCACCTCACACATTCACCAAATAACCCAAGATTTTTGCGTTGCCTCTTAGTGCAGAGTAGTTGCCACGTGTGACCGCCTCCGTGGTCGAGGGGTTAGAGTCGATGACTTCTAATCCAGTTACCTCTCTGGCGTGGGTTCGATCCCCGGGAGATGCTTTGGTAGTTTAGCCCGGAGGAAGGTAGTCTAGTACTGGTGTATCTCTCCAGGAACGATGGTTAGGAAACTACCCGCCTATATGACTGAAATACTCATAGGAAAATGCGTAAAATGAAAAAAACAAACAGTTGCCACGTATAGGGATCACTTTTTTTTCCTCATCTGTCCATCCCCCTGTCACAAAAACTTGTCTGGACTACTTCTCAGAAACTGCTGGACAGTGGACACAGTATTAATTTCCTCCAAACTTTACAGGCATGATCAGGATTAAGTCTAATTGTGCTTATTGTCTGCAATTACTGTCCAATGACTTTGTCAGAGTTATGGACCTTTAATGATTTTTTAATATCAAAGTTGTCTGGACTTCTCCTATACCACTGTAACTTAACAGGATATTGATATTTAGCTCAAGCTCTTGCACATATTACACAGGTTTTCCAGTTAAATGAGTTATGGTCTTCAATTAACAAGAGCGATCAGTGATCACACATGTGTCACCTCATTATAGTCAATTGTATGTTACAGCTACTGACTGTAGCAGGAGATACAAAAATCACTAACAAGCCAAAACTTGTTTTCATCAAAGGCCATAACTCCGGCAAAAAATCATTCAACCGAAAAAACCCATGTAGTACTGTCAGTTACACCGATAAAATGTCAATGGAGTGCCTATGAAATGAATAAAGAAATGAATGGATGAATTAATAGATTGATAAAAGTGGGACCTCTTTGACCAAGTGGTTATCATTGCCACTCCGCATTGCTAGCTGGTTAAAATCCTGTATTGAGGGTCTTTGGATTCTTTCATATGAGGCAGCTATCCAGAAGAGGGTTTGGTTGTTCTTCTTGGGTGGCCTGCTTTGTGCCTGAAAAAGGAGATACCCATGGTCTTTCTCCACCAGTAAAACTGGAATGCTCACAATATGACAATTCATATTTGTCCGTGTGACTTTAAAATCCAGCAAAACAAGCAAACTTTATTTATTAAGTAAAGGTAATTTGGTATACTTTTTCCTCTCCGCAGACAGAAATTACACGGAAGCAATTTGTAATCTGTAATTTTACACATTAAATGGACCAAATTACAGTCAAGTTTAACTTATAGTATTTCCTGTAATAAAATGACATATTAAAACACAATAATACCAGGAAACAATATATAACAAAATCATTTATACGGCTTTCCCTTACAGATCTACCAAATTTTGTTTCACACATATTTTGTAACTAAGTACCATATCTTTCATTTTTACTTGTTATGTATTTTTAAAACTGGTAATAAAATGTAACACTTCTTCTGACAGAAGATATATACCAAAAAGGAATAATTATTCTGTATGAACCCACAACAGTCATGACAGTGGGGAGCAAGCTGTTTCAAGTCAAAGATCTTTATTAACATTACTTAGAAAAGGAAGCCTGCCATGGACTTTGGATTCTGGCAAATGAGCTAGCTTACTAAGAACATTGGCGATTCTACTCAGGTGCCCGTTGGTGCCTGAAATAATGCATAGGTGTGATGTAAAAACCAACTAAAGGAACAACCTTTATAGTGAAAGGGAACAAATTGTTCAGCTATGCCACCAACATCTATGACTTGCCTATTTATCTGTATAATTTTTCCCCAGTCCTTTACTGTACTGTAATAATTTTGAGATAAGAATCTCAAAACTTCACAATGAATTGTTTTAAATTTAAGCATCACTCAACTTGAACAAGTTATATACAACAGCTATATTTTGTTTTGGTTTGGAGTCAAACTAGCTCTTTAAAGCTGCACGCCTTCAGATGAGCCAAAATATTTCAAGATAATCAAACTTTACGAATATACTTACATTTTAAAAAGAGGATTTAAGTAATAATTTCCATTTTTTGTGTGATATACAATTGAATTTTCAGTATTTATCCCATAAATCTACCATGTGACTAACACAGTAAGGGCTATTTTTGTATTTTGTTACCTTTATGGTAATTTAAGTGAATTGCAATATGCTGATTACTTTCTTTGTTCACTTCACAACATTATTCTTTAAAATACTTTTGTATATTTTCAAAATTTTCATAAAAAATAAGCACGAATCTGGAGGCAAGCATGAATCTTGAGGCATCTGGGTCATATCATGACTTTTCAGCTAATTTTACCTTACATGCCTAAGGTCCCCCATTTTTTTACAGGATTTTATGGCTTTGATTGCATAATGACTAGAATCAGTGACATTCCATTAGGTTCCTGGATAACTTAAAATTCTTCAAATTAAAGAATCCAAAGTCCCCGACGAGATTCGAACCCAGTGATTAAAGGCTGGAGATAAAAAGACCGCCAACTTCACCACTGAACGGGGAATAGGTTTCATAACAGTTTCAGTTTTCAAAATATATTACTATCAATGTTTAGTTAAATATTGGATGACCAGGAAATAGCTAGGGGAAATAGTTCGGCATTATTGAAGGCTTTTTAAAATGTTAATATAAACTTCTAACTATTGATTCTAAATTCCCATATCATTCTATATTATGCGAAGAGGAATTTGAAAATTTGTTACACAAAACCTTAGCTGTGGTGAGAAAATGGTATGATTTAAAGCTGAAGTATGAAAAATGGTATTAAAAAAGGTCACATACACAGGTCTCAGTTGTTTAATTTGATTATATAATAGTTTTACATACTAATTGTTTCCACCATTTCACACGGTTATAGGGAAGTTATTAACAATTATTTAAGACATATTATTGTAATATAAAAATAATTTTGGAGTATAAATATTTCTGTGCATATAATGTGTCAAACTTACTCTAAATATCAAGCTTGAACAGCTGAGGAATTTCAAGTGAGATGCATTGATAAAAAGGATTGTTTTATGGTGTAAAAAAATTAAATTTAATATATCAGGATTCGAAATAAAAAATATTGTCCATCTTTATGGAGTGGACTGCGTACTTAAATTACTACGTGGGGACAGTAGAAATAAAATTTGATTCCCCGGGAAATTAAGTGTTGAAGGAACAGAAAAGAAACCGTGATAACCTGCTCTATGCAATTTTTAAACAATGAACTTTCTGTGAAAAAAAATACCTAAAGTTTGTAGCATTTTGGGCTATATATCAAAAGCTATAGAGAGAAACTTGACAGAGACACTTTTCTTGTCTGGAGCAGAATGATTAAATTCTGAGCTTAAGCGTTTTTCCTTTTAATTCTATCTTAAAGGCAGACATTCAAATTAAATTAAGATTCTTCAACAAAGGAAAAATTAAAAAAGGAAAGATTAACATGAATTCTACATCTGTACATGTTGTAACAGGGGATTCAGGTATGAGTTTAATCTCCACAACAGAAGAATACGATGATTCCAGCAGAGCTCAAATGATTACACGATATTTCAGTACTAGAGAAAATATGGAAATCATTTCTTTTTACGCTTTAATTTGAATTTTTAAATTTTAAATTTAATTTTAAATTAGTTCTAATACAATGTATTTGTATATCTTTAGTTGTGGTTTTGTGACCTTTGACAAAATGGACTGT